TCAGCCAGCTACTGGATATTTTGGCTGGGAGTAAAACATCAGTAGGTGCTGCTATTCACACTCACTTCAATGGCTGTGATTCCAATGCTTCTCTCAATTGCACGATATTTCACCATCGTCTGGAAAGACGGAAGAATGCCAACAATAAAGCAAAAGTTAATTAAGACACACCTTAGCTAAACAGAGATGAAACAGGTTACACAAGAAGTATGCTTTTTGTTTTTTTCAAATTTATTATTGTTGTTGTTGATGACCTTGATCATCTGATAGTGGTGCTGATTATTCATCAGTTTATCTAAAATGTAAAAATGTATGCTTATAACTAAAATGTTGACGTTTAAATATTTTTTAAATCAATTTTTATTAAGAGGCTTTACAAGTATCTATCTATCTTTTGTATGTATTGTGTAAATTATTTGCAAATAAAGTTTACAGTTTCTACTTTTGTAAAAACTTGTCTATCCCAAGCTTCATTTGATATACAAGCAACACACACCACATCCAAACATAAAGAAAGCCTCACAAAGAACAGTCTGTCAGTGACTCAGCACTGTGTCAGTGAAATTTTAATTTCTTGCATAATTTTAGCTCCATATGTGCTAAATTTGAACAATTTCTTTAAACTGTTTCTTAGATTTTCATCACAATATTTTTTATAAGACTCACATCTACACATTCTGTTATCTGCAAGCATTACAGTTTAACTTAAAAACTTTATAATATTAACAAAATAACAGAGTTTTAAGCACAATCAATAACAGACAATTAGTTTAAAAACTAAGTTAGTTGCGTATTCTTTACAGAAAAGTTAGTTAGTTGCGTATTCTTTACAGGATGTTGCAGAACCAACCCCAGCATTTTTTTGGGCTGTTGGGGTTTTTCTAGGCACATTTTATGTTCAATAGTTTGCCATTGCTTTCTGAACGGTAAGCTCTCGGTTTCACTGTCGAAACCGACGCAAGACAAATCGCCTGCAGCAGGAATCAAACCCGGCATCCTGGCATTACGAAGCCATTCGCAACAGTCAAGCCACAGAGGCCGGCAATAAGTAAATCAGAAAAATATATTGTTTTTAATTTCTAACATCCCGATTGGGTTCTGAGGCAGGGGGCAGAACCCATTGCTTCCCTAGCAAGCATGTCGTAAAAGGAGATTAATTAGGAGTGGTTCCTACAAATATGAAGTGCATCTGCCTGAGAGTAGAGGAACCATCAGTCAGCTCACAAATAAGCTAGATCTGTAAAATGGATCTGCACAAAAAACTCACGTTCTAAAATTAGACAAAATTTCAAAAGTGGATGAACAACCAGAACTTTCCACTCGAGTTTACAGCTGGTGAATGCTAAGAAGAAAAAGAAGAATTTCTATCAGGCAGGAATCATAAGATTCATGTAAGATTTACATTTTCTCATTCTGTTATTTGTGAGCATGATAGTTTCATTTAAAACATGTAATATAATATTACTAAGAAGAAGAGGCCTTAGAGATGTGGTTTTACAAAAGAATACTGACAATTAGTTGGACAGCCAAAAATAGTCAACTAAATATTTTGAACGCCTGTGTGTCACCGAGCCCACACGGTAAGCAAAGAATAGTGACACTGCACCCTACTAGGCATGTTGTAAGAAGCGACTAAGGGTAGGGTTGGGCTTGAAGTTGACTACCTGATCCTGTAAACACAATAGCTACAAAATCCAACTAACCATGGTTAAGTCAAAAAGAGAAGCCAGTAAAACCCAGCCAACCAAGATAAAGGGAGGCTATTCAAGTAGAAGAAGTATGAGACAGTGTGGAGAAAGCCAAAAAGAGTCAGGATCATTGACGTACCTCTTCTCACCAGGAAAACCTCCAGAATATGCACCTGGAATGTTAAACACATGGAGAAGGGAGCTGGAGAATGTTAGAAATATGGTGAGGACATGGGAAGAGCTGCATGCAATAGCAAAAGACAGAACAACTTGGCGTGAGTTGGTTGAGAGCCTATACTCCATTGGGGGCTAGAAAAGCAAAAGCAAAGCAAATATTTTGAAACAGGACAAATCCTGAAGGTAACTTACAAGAAATATCAGAAATGGGCAGTAAAAATTTCTTATCACATTATGAGAAGAGTAAAACCACAACACTTATGAAAGATTTAGACAGTCTTTCCTCTTGAGCATAGGGTGACAAATAGGACAGAGATCATAAGATCATAGCTCTCTAGGTCTGGAGGTTCACTGCCACCTGATCTAGGTCTTGGATGTTCATTAGGCCCATGATTGAACCTTCCCTGATGATGGTTCTACACAGGGTCTCTCTTGGTCTTCCCTTGTGGTGTTTAAATGAAGGCAATTCAGACAGTGAGAGAAGATTTTTGACAGCTTTTTTATTTATGGCACACAAAAAGATGACCACATATGAAGTGGCACATGCTGCTGGATTCAGATGATCTGGGGACACGTGGTTGCCCATACCAGTCAATAAGTTATTCAATGATGATTACGACATCAGCTATTAGTCTCACATACCAAGTGTTAAAACTCATATTACATTCCCTCATGTTACATCCTCGTGTCACATTGACTTCATTTCCCATGACATAATTAGTTATAAGTCTCATATTACATCATCCATTGGAAGCCTCACATGACATCTCAAATTCTAAATAATATACTACATCATTTACTCTGTGTTACAAAACATTACCAGCAAATCTCTCATTACCATTATCTGCTCTTAAGTAAAAGGTAAAGGTCCATTTTTCTACACCTTTAGGCGTATAGAGCATATAGGACTAGACCTATATTTTTATAGACCAATCTGCACATTTCTAGTTTTCCCTTAACATCTTAACTTTTTTTAAATACAGAATCGTTTGTCTAGATCTTGCTGTTCAGTCACATTGATGTTATCTTTCCATTTTATTCTTGGCCTACCTCGGGCTCTGCATCCTTCTCCTTTAACGTAAGCCTTGTATTTTATAGTGTAACAAGGCATGCTGTTTTAGTGTACGACTTGTATGACTTGTATTTTATAGCGTCACAAGGCATGCTATTTTAGTGTAAGACTTTATTTTATAGCGTCACAAGGCATGCTCTTTTAGTATAAGACTTGTATTTTATAGCGTCACAAGGCATGCTATTTTAGTGTAAGACTTTATTTTATAGCGTCACAAGGCATGCTCTTTTAGTATAAGACTTGTATTTTATAGCGTCACAAGGCTTGCTCTTTTAGTGTAAGACTTGTATTTTATAGCGTCACAAGGCATGCTCTTTTAGTATAAGACTTGTATTTTATAGCGTCACAAGGCATGCTCTTTTAGTATAAGACTTGTATTTTATAGCGTCACAAGGCATGCTCTTTTAGTATAAGACTTGTATTTTATAGCGTCACAAGGCATGCTCTTTTAGTATAAGACTTGTATTTTATAGCGTCACAAGGCATGCTCTTTTAGTATAAGACTTGTATTTTATAGCGTCACAAGGCATGCTCTTTTAGTGTAAGACTTGTATTTTATAGCGTCACAAGGCTTGCTCTTTTAGTATAAGACTTGTATTTTATAGCGTCACAAGGCATGCTCTTTTAGTGTAAGACTTGTATTTTATAGCCTCACAAGGCATGCTCTTTTAGTGTAAGACTTGTATTTTATAGCATCACAAGGCATGCTCTTTTAGTGTACAACTTGTATTTTATAGCCTCACAAGGCATGCTGTTTTAGTGTACAACTTGTATTTTATAGCGTCACAAGGCATGCTCTTTTAGTGTAAGACTTATATTTTATAGCGTCACAAGGCATGCTCTTTTAGTGTAAGACTTGTATTTTATAGCGTCACAAGGCATGCTGTTTTAGTGTACAACTTGTATTTTATAGCGTCACAAGGCATGCTATTTTAGTGTAAGACTTGTATTTTATAGCGTCACAAGGCTTGCTCTTTTAGTATAAGACTTGTATTTTATAGCGTCACAAGGCATGCTCTTTTAGTGTAAGACTTGTATTTTATAGCCTCACAAGGCATGCTCTTTTAGTGTAAGACTTGTATTTTATAGCCTCACAAGGCATGCTCTTTTAGTGTACAACTTGTATTTTATAGCCTCACAAGGCATGCTGTTTTAGTTTACAACTTGTATTTTATAGCGTCACAAGGCATGCTCTTTTAGTGTAAGACTTGTATTTTATAGCGTCACAAGGCATGCTCTTTTAGTGTAAGACTTGTATTTTATAGCGTCACAAGGCATGCTGTTTTAGTGTACAACTTGTATTTTATAGCGTCACAAGGCATGCTATTTTAGTGTAAGACTTGTATTTTATAGCGTCACAAGGCATGCTATTTTAGTGTAAGACTTGTATTTTATAGCATCACAAGGCTTGCTCTTTTAGTGTATGCCTTGTTTTTTTTTAAAAAATTGTACTGGAAAAAATATGGGAAGAGCTGCCTTCAATAGCAAAGGGTAGAACGATATTGTGTGAGCTGACTGAGGACCTATGCTCCATTGGGGGTTGGAGGCAGAAGAACAGACTGTAGTCATCTTCACATAAATCTTTACCTAAGGCTCCATGAAACTTCTGTTTACACTGACAAATATAAATATATATATATATATATCTGTGTGTGTGAGTGCGTGCGTGCGCGCGTCTGTGTCTATTCCATATAAACTATGTCTATATATATTCACATATATATATATAATATACATAGTTTATATGTAATAGACCTATAATCAACTAGTTTACCTATATCTCTGCTCATTGTCTTCTGTACTTTCCCAGGCACAGAATAATAACAGAATATGTTACTGGACCTTATTAAGATGTAATATTATATTTATTTGATTTGCCAAAATATATTTAGAGAAATTTTGTAAATAGCTATCCCACATTCATATCCCACATTGATAACCCACATTCATATCCCACATTCATATCCCACATTCATATCCCACATTCATATCCCACATTCATATCTCCATTCTTTTCACTCTGGTACTTCCTTTCAACACACTTCTGCAGCACTTATGAACTCTCAGACAATGCCATCACAGTTAAGTAGAAGTTTCCGCACTGCTTGGTTCCTTCGCACTTTCTGCATCTCAGAATTCTGGATGGGAAAAACGAACACAATGTTGTAGAGTTTATATCAAGGCAATGTTATTACTAATAATATTAGTATAACCAAGCACACTCATAATGGACTAAGCAGACATTCTGAATATTATATATGAATAAATTCTGATTCAATATGTTTAATACAGCAGCATGTGTAGGGTTGCATGGATTTGGCATTAACTGTGGATCCAGAAAGAAAGGATATATGCTTCTTCTACTATGTATGCCCTTAGAAGAACAGCTGGCTTACTGTGGTTTACAGCTAGTCTGTGATATCCGCATCTTTCTGCCCAACACATTTGAGTTCAACAAACCCTTTAGTCACCTTTAAAGACATATTTGTTAAGGGGGGGGGTGGTCTATTCTTCTTTTCGTAAGCTTGTCGCTCGGTCGTCCAGGCATGCTGACTGCTTTAATTAGGCTGCCGCGGCGGCTTCTTATCTCACAGTACCTTCTGCAAAACCACCAAGTCGTCGTGTCTCTGGCCGAAAGAATAACACCATCCGGTAATTCCGTGCAGCAGGGAACCAGCCCTGAACTTCATGAACTCAGGAGGGCCCACCTCCGAATGCGTCTAGGAATCGTGGGCCGAAACGCGTGTCGACGAGGATAATTTCTACTGACGACTGGTAGATCCCTGCTGTACTTGCTCCCTGTGAGTTTATTCTTATTCTTTTCCCACATGGGGAGAAAGCACGTATGAGAAAAAGAATTTGGTTTGTGTAAAACCAGTACGTTACAGAACAGTAAGTATCTACACCTTAAGACATTTGCCTGTGGAGAAGCTTTCTTATTAACAAACCACAAACAGGGGAAATCCACAGGTCACGGGACAGTCAAATATTTCAGGGGGTGGTAGACTGCGCGTATAGTTTTGGTTAGGGTTAGAGCTAAGGTTAGGGTTAGGTAAATGCGTCAAAATTTTGGCCTTGCAAGAAACGTGCTGAAGCACAGAAAACATGGAAAACCCACTCTTACCACCCTCTGATTTACTGGACTATCCCACGACATCATTTGTGGTGGGCTAAAAAGAAAGCACCTCATCATCTACTGGGCTGGCCAGTATGCTATGACATAGATTCATATATCAGTCATCACAGTGGTAGTAAACTGCATTGGAGCTGAGATTCAACTCACTGTGAGACTTCACTCAGCATATCAAGCCAATGGTGTACTGCAACAATTAAAAGATAATAAGTGGTAAAATGTAAGTTGAGTTAGTTGTGTATCCTTCACACAACATTGCAGAACCAATCCCAGCATTTTTTTGGCTGTTGTGGCAAAATTTACATTCAGCAGTTCGCCACTGCTTCTGAACAGTCAGCTCTTGGTACTACAGCACAAAAGCAGTATTGTAGAGTTTATGTGTTGCTCATGCAGTTTGATCCCTAGCTTTTTCTGTATACTCTGAAGGGAAGGTAACACCAAAAATGTTTGGAATAAAGCATGCTGCACAAGCTACAAGATGAGAAGAACAGTGCTCTGACTGTACGTCAGAGTTTCCCTCCTAGATTAGCTGCCATCCAAGATTATGGGCAGGGTATGTGCTGCCATAACAATAAAATTTCAGGCTGCATTTCTTCTTCCTTCTTTTGATTTGCTGTTCTTGTTTTTTGTCTCTGCTTTGGAGCAGATGAAGTGTAGTGACTGTACACTTGTTTACCAGCCAAGCAGACATATGTTCAAATTCTCCTTGAAATAGGGATTTAAAAAAAAAAAAAAATTTTACACAGACTTTCAGGTCTTCTTCTTTCTTCTTCTGTCCTACTGCCTATGCCATAAAGTTTTGTAGAGATAGTTAGATGTAATTTCCTTCTTTTGCTAATTGTGTAGGTTGTGTCAATGTCATATTGCTTTTCTGTAGTGCCTCTTTTACTTACTCCATTCATCTCATTACTGGATGGCCTCTTGCCTTGTAGCCTGTGTTCTCATGTAGTATGTTCTAACTGTTGGCTGATTTTCTTCCATTCTAGCAAGATGACCAAACCATTTTATCCTGTGATGTTCCATGAAATAATTTACCAGTACTGTGCCTACCATTGTTCTTAGTTCTTTGTTGGTGCCTTTTTCTTTTCCGGCCACATTTCTTATACATCTCATCTCACATACTGTAATACTGCATTTATGTTTTTCTGGAACTGTCCATGTCTAACACTAATTCAATGTCAGATCAACCTCACCTAAAATGAGTTCATGTCAGATCAACCTCACCTAAAATGAGTTCATGTCAGATCAACCTCACCTAAAATGAGTTCATGTCAGATCAACCTAACCTAAAATGAGTTCATGTCAGATCAACCTCACCTAAAATGAGTTCATGTCAGATCAACCTCACCTAAAATGAGTTCATGTCAGATCAACCTAACCTAAAATGAGTTCATGTCAGATCAACCCCACCTAAAATGAGTTCATGTCAGATCAACCTAACCTAAAATGAGTTCATGTCAGATCAACCTAACCTAAAATGAGTTCATCTCAGATCAACCTAACCTAAAATGAGTTCATGTCAGATCAACCCCACCTAAAATGAGTTCATGTCAGATCAACCTAACCTAAAATGAGTTCATGTCAGATCAACCTAACCTAAAATGAGTTCATCTCAGATCAACCTCACCTAAAATGAGTTCATGTCAGATCAACCTCACCTAAAATGAGTTCATCTCAGATCAACCTCACCTAAAATGAGCATCATAAATTGTCCTGGGACATAAAAGATGGCAGGTCTCAACTCACTCTGATGCTTCTCTGGTTTCTCGATACTTGTTTTCTTTTTAATTACTAACTGTGATTCCCAAACTGTTTATCATGAATATCCTTTCCCTGGATCTAAAAACACATGGAAAACAAAACTACAGGGGTATGAATAATAGGAATAATACCTGCAGGGAGATGGTAAAAGGCTGGACAGTTTGGCATTAGCTGACTCAGTGTGTATAGTATAATCAGACCAATAAAGTTCAGAAGAAGAAGAGCAGCTGGCCAAGGAATGACTGGCCAGGTGGCTACAATGCTGGGCTCTCATTTGAGAAACCTTGGTTTTGAATCCTCAGTAAGGAGAAAAAGTGGAGTTGTTTGTTTTTTGGTTTTTGTTTTTTACTGCCAGGAGCCCCAAAGAAAGTTGATCGTCCCAACCTGCAGTTTGTGGCAACTGCACAAGAAATTCGGCCTAAATACTCAAGACCTACATCACCCTAAAATGTGGTAATTACAGGCAGTAATTCTTATATTGTTTTTAGATGAATTAAAAATAGGGATGTGAAAATACTAAAAAGACTTTTTTTTTTCAAGAAGGAGAATAAAATAAATGTATGTTATGAAAAACCACAATAAATTAATTTACCTTCCAGATAATTACTAATCCATCTGAAGAACAGGTAACAATACCTTCATACTCAAAGTCTAGAAAACCCTGAAAAAATATGGAAGAGAAAATATCTGTTTACTGGCAGTTTTGCACAAGCCATAATAATGACATATGTTGTGTTATATTCAACGACTACATTTTTGGCCGATTTAAAATAAAATACATTCTGTGAGGAACCAGGCTTTTTCAAAAATGACCTTAGTTCCCAGGTTGACCCAGCCTTGATTGGGTACCGGGTGCAGTCCCAGAAAGTAAAGGTGGCCGGCGTGATGCTAAACACATTACCCATCTTGTGCCGATTGGTCAATAAAATATAGGTCTAACCTTATATGCCTACAGGCGTGGAAAAGGGACCTTTACTTTCACTTTACTTACATTCTGTGACATCTGAGCATAGATGAAGTTGGCTAACAGATAGCTTCAGGTCTCAGAAAGTAAAATATTGTATCAATATACAATACTGAAGTGACTTAGAACAGCAATGGAAAGTATGGTCACTGGAAGAAGAACCAAAGAATGTTTAGCACAAAACTGTACACAGGAAACTGTGAGAGGGAAAAAAAAAGAGATGTCAAACAATGTAATATTACAAAAGCATAGAAACAGAAATGGAATAACATAAAGAATCACATTAAAGCATACACATAGGACCTTAAAAACGTATTGGCTTGTAGTATATATGTATGTGTGTGTTTATATATATATATATATATATATATATATATATATATATATATATATATATATATATATATATATATATATATATATATATATATATATATATATATATATCCACACACACACACACCCTAGAAGGATTAACAGGATCTTGTTAATACTTCTAGATTATAAGTTTTATATCAAGGCCTAATGACGTGAAGATCAGTACAAAAGCACTCTAAGACGAAGTTGCTGACACACACAAAAATAATACATCAGTACACAAAGAGGAATCTTGAAAAATGCACAAATAATTCAGCAGATAGGTTATACCTGAACACTTCCTCCATGAGCACAACATTCACCTAGTAAACTTGGCTCCCATGGGGAACTTGCTGCAGCCTGAAGTAACTCATGAGACCTGACAGGATACAAACGTGTTATTTAATATGTTAGACAGCATGGCAGTTAAATAACAGGTCACAGGGTAAACATTAAAAACTGTCATTATGTGTTAAAAAGTATGCCAGGGGTCTTTGTGACGAAGTGGTCAATACATTTACTTCACGTTCTGAAGGTCATGCTGCATCACTCAATTCACTAGTGCGATTTTTATGGAGACCTTTGGGAATAATCACTGCAGCTACAGAGTTTGTGCTTTATGTGATGCTCTCAAGCAGGCAGCTAGCTCTTCTGCAGAGAGAGACCTAGCCATATGGGATAAAACCTGGTGCAATGGAGTTGATCCTCTTGACTTTAGCTTTAAATATTATGCCAATTACATAACATGTCATGGGTTAATTATGAAAACTGTCAGTCACTTATCATTTATTATGAAGTATGACAGTTATATAACAGGTCATCGATTAAATATTCAAACTATCAGTTACTTAACTAATTATGTGTTAAAAGTTATGGAAGTTATATAACATGTCATGGATTAAATGTGAAAACTGTCATGTATTTTACTTATATGTTTAAAAGTTTGACAGATAAATAATAGGTCATGAGATCAATATCAAAACTGTCAGTTATTTATTGGACCATGTGTTAAACATTTAATATGAGGTATGTATGAGGTATTACGATAGCCCACACCAGTCGGCAAGGCACCTACTGATGATGATGATGATGTATGAGGCATGATCAAATGAAACCAGTCACAATGGCCTTATTATATGTGTGTAAAAAAGTAGGAAAGGTATATTAGCAGGTGTGGCAAAAAGTTTAAACAACCAGTTTCAAAGAAATCATGAACATGAGTTCCAAAGACTTTGTCCTAGACATTCAGACCTCCCTCCCACAAATAAGTAAACAGTGGATATCATCCTCAAAAAACACATGAAAGGTGGGGTTTGAACAGCTTGCTGTATTAGACAGCAGAGGGATTTTGTGTGTGACTAGTGACAAGCAATAAGTCATGGTGCAACCACTTTCAGCCATGCAGCAAAACACTAAGTATTCAGAGGAAATATCTTGAATCACCTAAATATAACATAAATTTAAGTTTTATTGATACAGCCTCGATCACCTTTAGCAAACGTCTATTCAGTTAATACACTGAATAGACATACACTGAACAGACATTTGCTAAAAGTGATCGAGGCTGTATCAATAAAACTCTATTCTCTTATGTTATGGAAACAAAGATCAAGTGATGAATTTGAAGTTACCATGGAAATCACGTGACCAATTTTGAAACAATTTAAATGACAGTTTTTTCAATGTCCTTCATATTTTTCTATTAACAAACAGGTCAGATGTGACGCAATCACATCTGCAGTAATATAATAATCAAATGTTAGAATTCAAATGGTCAGTTATAAAACAGGTCATGTTTTAACTATTCATATTTTCAGTTTCATGCCAGGCTCTGTGTTGACACCAGTGACTGATCGGGCATATGATGCTAGTCTCATCCTTTTGTAGACCAACTGGCACTCCACTTCTCAAGACTTTATTTCCTGGCACCCATTTTAGGATGGGTTGACCTGGGAGCCAAGGTAATTTTTTTAAGGAGAAAAATACAAACTTGATGCAGATTTAAACCCAAGACCTTCGAACCAGTAGACGAGCATTTAACCACTTTACCCCCACATCTCCACAAACTAGATTATGTCTCACATTAAACATCTGCTGAGCAAGAAATGGCATATATATGGACGTTTACTAGTCCCACAACAGCAGTTATAGTTAAGCAATTATAGTGGCAGTAAGTAAAGTAAAGTAAAGATCCCTTTTCACGCCTTTCGGCGCATCGGGCATATGGGCAGAGCGTCCCATATTTTTACAGACCATCAGCACTCTGTGGGTAATGTGGTCAGCATTACGCCGGCTGTCTTTACTTTCCCAGGACAGCCCATCCTGGTACCCATTTTAGGCTGGGTCGACCTGCGACGTCCCATAGTGGCAGTAACAGATGTAAAATGGAATGGGAGTAAAGATTATCAAAAGGTCAACCAGCATAGTACTGGCACTATTAACCGCATGACACTGATGAATTTGCTGATACAGGAATCTGAGCACATATGGATGTGTCCGGAGTGCTGTCAAGAGAATCCAAATCATAACTAAATAATAGACGTAAAAAAGTACATTCTAATTATCTTAACTATGCACTGTTACATTTCAAAATATAATTTTTTTTAAACATATCACTCACTGTAAACCTGCAAATTTTTCCATCGTAGTGACAGCCATACCATCTTTCCATGGGTCCAATGTTTGTTTGTGACCCCACAGCCTCAAACATTTGTCTTCTGAACATGTTGCAAGCAGCTCTCTAGCCAAATAGAATAAAATTATTCCAAAACTGGTGACAACACAGTGTGATTTGATTGATAAATGAGCAAAACATCTATTGAGGAGGTTTCATTGATTTGATTTGATTCAAGAACCAACATCACAGCGCTCGGGGCATTCCCATAAGCGCTCTGTCCCCATCTTCAGCAGCCAGCGAAGAGTTCCGATACTAATGGTGCCAGTAGCATTCTAATTAAACGTCCATCTTGCCTTTCCTCTGAGCCTCGAGCATCTGCCAGAACCTCTCGTCACTCCCCGCTGCATCAATCTCACCAGACTGGTGATCCATTTGCTCCTCCGAATTGTACATGAAGCATACCTGTTCTGATCTTCCTCAGCATGCTTTCTGAATCAGTTACAATCACGATGTGTGTGTTTGTCGTGTTCTCTAGCCAGCGGAAAGCTGTAGTGACCGCCTCCACCTCCATTTTTAAGCTGGATGTTGTGGTATCATATGCTAGGCTCTCCTGCACCAAACAACGACCATTAACTTTTACTAAGAAGCCCCAAGCACTTCTTTTGCCTCTTGACACTGAACCGTCTGTGTAAATGATCAAATCCTCTGAGCAAGCATTATCTTGAATTACTTGCTGAATTTCCACCTATGTGGCACCTGCTGGCCAGTCTCTGCATTCCCGGCTCAGCGTGATTATGACTCTACACAAGTCTGACTGTTCAGGTGGCACTTTGACCTACTCTTCTCCTTGCCTAATGTTCTCAAGGATGCAAACCTGTCGGATTGTGACTTCTGCCTGAGCCAAAATTGACCTCCCTCTTATCACCCGCTGACCCTTAACTGCACCCAGAGCTTCATGCATAGGGTGGTCTGTGTCTGCAGCTACCCTGAGATATAACTTAACCTGCAGCACCTTGTGCCTACCTGCAACCATCGGCAAACCAAGGATGTATCGCATACACACAGGAGGTTTCAGAGATTTGGTTTCACAGAAAATATCTGCCAAAAATAAGATATCATATAAAATGTCTAGAACATAAATCCTGGACATGAAACAAGAAAAAGAAAAACACAGACATCCAACATGATCTGAACATTGGAGATAATTGGCTTGTAAACAGCATCCTGTCCTGAAAGACAAGGTATTCTGGCCATGTTAAATGTCATGGTGGCTGGGAGAGAACTGTGATGGAAGGCACAGTATCTGGAAAACAAGGCAGAGACAGACCTTCATAAAGGTGGATACAAGAAGATGAATGAGCTATGACAGCACATAGCGCTGGAGAATTTGTTAGAGAATGAAAGACTTTCAGGCGTGTCGTGACAAAAGCAACATTCTGTAAAGACCTGCTAATTGTTGATGATGGCACAAAGACAACTCAACACAAACAAAAGAATGAGGCATTCACAATATCTACAGGAACACTCAAAGTGAACAATGGAGTCATTCTGAAGACCATTTATGAATGAATGTTGACAGAAGACACCAGGCTAGATGAATGAAATAATAATGTAAGAATGTAGAACTGGAAGTGGATCTGGTAAGGACGGACGTATGAGGGAAAGCAAATAATGTGTGTATAATCAATGGACTACAAGAACAATTAGAATCTACACCTTAAGACAGTTACTGCTGAAGACAGAGCATTTATAGGATGTGCCATGTGCTATGATGTGGATTCTTAATTCAGTAAATCAGTAATCACCATCTGTTGGCCATATTATGAAAACAAAAACTGAAAAGGAAATATTAATTTCCTCTGGAATTTTCTTCCTATCTTGACAGAAAGGTAAACAATTAAAAGATAATATTAATTAGGATATACTGTGGTGAGGCAGTTGACCTGTCTGCTTTATGTCCTGAAGGATGTAGTTTTAGTATAATATTTCATCATTCAACTTCAGTGTGCTAAAAGCTGGTACTGGGGCTATGGAGTTCGCGTTTTGCGCTGCTGACAGAGATCAAGCCATATGTAATAAAACCGGGTGTAATGAAGTTGAGTCTTTCAGTGTTAAATATTTCTGTTTATTAATTAACTTTCATAGATTTAAATTCTTCATAGACAAAATGAAATGCCTCGTGGAATACTTTATTAATAATTAAAGAAAAATCTTACCCTTCACAAGCAAAGCCCATAGCAGTGATCTTTGATAGATGAGCTGATTTCTTTTGTATAACAAGTGTTTCTTTATCATTAGATATATCATAGACATAAAAGCCACACCCGACCGCAGCAAACAAATAGCGCTGGAAAAAAAAGATAGCAAATAACTAGGCTTAGCATCAGAAATAGGCATTAAGTTAAAGAATGATGACATAAAAGGTATATGTTGTCTTTACTAAATAAGTAGAATGATACATAACGTGGACAGAACAGCGACACTGAGGTGAAAAACTGCCTGTAACTGTGCACCAGGACAAGAGCTTAAATTAGTCAAGATACGTCTCTGCAGTCATCCAAGAATTAGGTTAAATACTGGGATTCTAGCCAGCATAGACAGGATCATCATATACTTCAATGTTAGACTGTATCTGTCTGAGAGGCAAGGAACCAAAAGTATGCACACAAGTAAGCCAGAACTGTAACAAGGCCCAAGCCCAGACATGAATGAACAACTAGGACTTTCTACCAGAGTTCACAGCCTGCAAACATAGTAAAAGATATTACACGACAATTCAGTTTTTGAGAAAAACACTTAAAGAACTTATATAAACCAACAGTAATTGGTCAAAACACTGTTTTGTCATACTTTCAACTTCTGAAGCACTTTTTAAAAAAACAGGCTTAAGGCACCCCCCCCCCCCTCCCCCCTTTTACAGACAGTAGTAACAGTTTTTATTAAAATAAAACAGATAATTTGAGGTTAATAAACAGCAAGTGGCCAAGGCCTTATGGGAGAACACGTACACTGATAAGGCAGATGTTGTCAAGGCCTTATGGGAGAACGTGTACAAATCGGAGGAGAAAATGGATCATCAGTCAGGTGAGAGTGATGCAGCAGGAAATGACAAGGGGATCTAACTGATAGTTGATGCTCAGAGAAGAGACAAGGCAGACGTACGATCAGGCTACTAATGGCACCACTGGTATGGGAACTCTGCACCAGCAGCTAAAGATGGGGACAAAGTGCTTATGGAAATGCCCCTGTCATGTTGGTTCTTGAATTAACTCAACTCAACTTGAACAAACGAAAAAACTTCATTTTCAAAGGGTCACAAATTGGGCACGCAACAACGTCTTACATTCGGCCGTTTCAAACACCCGTCTTTAACACTGCAGCTGTATTTTAAAACAAGTATTATTAAACAAGTTACCTCTTGCAGGCACATTAGAGATTGCACACTATGGGGAAACCGCTTGATGTCACCTTCACTTGCTGAGACAGGATGTAGTATTCTTATTGGTTGCAAGCTTGATGTTGCCCAAACCAAAATCATCCCATCTACTGAACCACTGGCAAATGCTGACGCTGTAAAAGAAGCAGATAAAAAACCTTAAGGGAAGTCTATGGGATGGAAAAGAAAACAAACAGTTAAGTTCTAGAATAAAATATAACAATAACCCTGCTGAAGGATAAATGCTGCTGCTGTTGCTGCTTTTTCATCTTATTCCTCTTCTCCATCTTCATCAAAATAAATATATTTAAAGAAAGCAGTAGTAAATCTAAGGTTCACATCTTCACAGAGTTTGTCCTTAACTCTTGGATTCCCAGAGGGTTTAGCATCACAGGCCCAAGTGGTAGTCAAAAGAGACGTAAAATCGGCGCATCATGCGTTCATTGGGCTTCTAGGTAGTAACCTATGAACGTATGATGTGTTCCTTGGGACTTAAAGAGTTAAATAGAGCGGGCATAGGCCAGAATAATTGTTTCTGCCCCGCAAATATTGCACACTCATGTAGCAAGTATTTAGCTGTCCTTTCACCAATTCTTTAGTTACATTTATCAGTTTCTCTTGTCTTTAGCTTATTGAAAAAGTGCTATTTCACTCTGTTATGTCCTGTGCTGAGTATAAAGACTGCTACTTGCTCTTTTCACTCAAGCTGGTGGTATGTAACATCTTTCTGATGGCCTGGACTGGCCTGGATGCTTTGATTTTCCTTTGGTTTTATGTGAATCTAATAAACCTCTCAATCTCATCATAGATTATGTATCAGTTGAAGAGATTTTTGATGCATGCGGGGAATTCTGTTCAAATTATGAAGCTGAAATAATTGCATTGGAAACAGCAGTATACCACCTAAAGACTGTAATGGATGTTTACCCTTCAAAGGTCCAAAATGTTGTCATCTTCACAGATTCAATGTCTGCCCTTCAAGCTCTGGAGGGCAGTGAACGCTGCATAAGTGACATAGCCAAGATAATCCTGGATGCTGATCAGCTTATTACCTCATACAACATCAGAATAGTGATGCAGTGGATTCCAGGTCTCTCCGGCACACCAGGTAATGACAGAGCTGACAGACTGGCAAAGAAAGGAGCAACACAAGAACAACCACCTACAGCGACAACCCTACAGACAGCAAAAACACTTATAAGAGCTATAAACAAAGAGACTTGGTTGAACAGATGGGCTATGGGAGACACTGGAAGAGAGGTTTATAGACATATGTCTGGCCCTGATCCTAATGACAGCATTAACCATCTAACAAGAAGGGACCAGGCCACCATCTTCAGACTTAGAACGCAACATACTCCACTCAATGGACATCTAAACAGAATACAGCCAAAACACTCCCCAGAGTGCCAGCTATGTAACTACCCCTACGAAACTGTTGAACACCATCTCTTTGAGTGGCCAAAACTCAGTGAGACAAGAAGAACGCTACTCCCTCCGAGACCAGACAAGTGGAACACCTTGTACGGAGGAAAAGAACAGCTTGTGAAAACATGCAAATTCCACTACTTGGCATTGGGCCAAAGGGCGATAGCTCATGCGCCGCTGGATCGATAACAACAACATCATAGATTATGTCTATATCAAGCTAACATAGTCTTCCACCTTTCTTTGCCAGTTCATCAGCCTCTTCATTGTTCGATATGTTGGAAAGGAAATAAAACAGAAATGAAAATTTGGTCTCATCAAAACATATCAAAGTTTACTAAAAAAAAAACCATATTTGAAATACATTTAAACAAAAGAGATAAATGTTCAAATACCACCCAATACCTGAAATTAGAACCAAGGAATGAACTGCTTCATTGTGGTAGTGCATTTGTTTGATTCGTAACAGATGACTCTTGCCGTCATCATCATGACTGACTTCATAGCACACTGTACACACAAAATTACATTAAAGTTATTGATTTTTTGACATCACAAGATATCATCAAAAGACAGCTGTTTCAAATAACTTTTCATGACAAATAAACAACAGAAAAATCCTATGCTGGTATACAGTAGTAGGTCTGTGCTGCTCTGCCAAAAATCAAGATACACTGTTGCTAGTGTCAGAGGTGGAGTTATAACCAAGCAAAATGAATGTAATCAATTAACAGCGTTCAGTTTAAGAACACTTCCAACCCAGGAAAAAATCCTGAAGACCCAATTAACCTCCTTACCCAAAAGAAACAGACATATGTACATGAAATTCAAGTTTGGGGATTCACAACCTTGTCTAGATAAACAGGCACCATAATCTGTCTGCCTGTTCATTCCTTACCACTCTGGCTTGGCCTGGAGGATCTGCACCGATAGGTATTAAATTCATATATGACAAGCCAGATTTGGTCAGAGCCCTTTGGGAATAAGTAACGAAGTCAGAAGAGAGAATGATGCACCTGGGTGTGACTAGAGGGTTTGGCCGGCACACTATGCTCAGAGGAAAGGCAAGATGTACATACAACCAGACTATGACTGGCACCCTTAGCACTGGAACTCTGCGCTGGCTGCTGAGGATGAGAACGCAGCGTGTATGGGAATGCCCCAAGTGCTGTGGTGTCAATTCTTGTCTCAACTCAACAACAGGCACCACAAAATACTGAACAGTGCTACAGACTTGCTCTCTACATGCAGTAGAGAGAACCCAGGTTTGGGATTTCAATAGAAACCAAGCTGTGTGGATCAGTGAAAGACATGTGTTGCACCACAGACTTCATATAGGCCTGTGGTCATCTCTTCATAAAACCACTGGCAGGAATAATGAACAGAAAAAGAAGTATGAGAATTCAGAAGGAGGCTGCCACTGCAGACAGGAAATGTTTTTCAAAAGTTTGGCTTATAAAGTCTTACTTCTGGAGGTCTCAAACTAGAAATTTGTGTAGATCTAGTCTCCTAGTCATGCTGAGGTCGGGTGGGGGGGAGCTTAAATGAAAATTTCAAATATATCTATCTTGATGGCAGCCAGTGTGATGTGAAGCTAGCCACTGACCTGCAGATCAGAAGGTCATGGGTTCGGGTCTGACAGAGCCTGACTTTCTTTTTCTTAAAAAAATGACCTTGGCTCCCAATCCAACCTTGAGTGGGTACCAGGTATAGTCTTGGGAAGCAAAAGCAACCTGTGTGATGTTGACCATATCACTCACTAAGCGCCGACTGGTCTACAAAATATAGGTCTTGCCCTATATGCTTATTAGCCTGAAGGCATGGAAAAAAAATATCCTTTACTTTACATATAATTTTGGGAAGGGGAAGAGAGGCAGAGGGAGACCAAGAGCAAAGATGCGGGTTAATGTGACATCATGGTATGGAGGATTAACTGTATCAAGAGTTGACAAAAGTACACAAGACAGAAGGTTGTGGATATAAATGACTATTGACTTGACAAAAGTACACAAGACAGAAGGTTGTGGATATAAATGACTATCAACTTGACAAAAGTACACAAGACAGAAGGTTGTGGATATAAATGACTATCAACTTGACAAAAGTACACAAGACAGAAGGTTGTGGATATAAATGACTATCAACTTGACAAAAGTACACAAGACAGAAGGTTGTGGATATAAATGACTATCAACTTGACAAAAGTACACAAGACAGAAGATTGGGGATATAAATATTAGCAACGCCACACAGCATGCAACACTTTAAGAAGAAGAATACACATCCTCCTGATTGCAGTTGTTGAATTTGAGATTTGACAACTGGAATGACTGAAATGGCGCTTATGACTCAAAGTCAATAATTCTAATAAAGATAATCACCATTCACACAATGTTTTGCTAGTAGAAACTGAGTGCTATTGGACTTGAAGAAGAAATAATTAATACACATTTCATTGCTTCAGTGAGTTACCATAGTAGTTGAAAACTGACCAACATGACTTTCTGTTTGAACAGTTAGGGATTAATCATATGCACTGAGATCATTCTGTATATGTCACCACTCATCAGTTTAGTGTGTAAACAGATTGTATGAAACATTTTATTAATTTCTAAATTCACAATGGGAAATAGTTTTCAGAATTTACAAAAAAGTATATTATAAATACTTCAAAAATACTTACTAGCCAATCACAAAAACTACAAACTAGTGTGCACTTGACAATAAAACTCATTTTTTTCTTATATTAGCTATTTTATTTTTATAATAAAATAAATATAATTCTTAGAATACCACGGACCAAAAATAATAAAAACACCAACATCCTACATGATCGAAGCACATAAACAGTATCCTGTTTCAAAAGCTGAAGTATTTTGGCCAGGTTGAATATCATGGTGGTCTGGAGAAATTGGTGATGAAGGGTTTAGAATTTCCAGAAAATGGCGCAGAGGCAGAACCCCATGAATGTGGATACAAGACACTGAAGATGACTCGGCTATGAAAGCACACACGGTTGGAGAACTGGCTACAGAAAGAGAGACTTTCAGGCGTGCCGTGATGAGAGCGACGTTCTACTGATTGACGATAGTGACTTATTTTATTTGTTTACATTTATGATTATTAATTAACATAATGCCGTCTTACCTAATTCTACATCAGCTGCTGCCACAATGTATTCATTCTTCACCAAAATCATGGAATTTATGTCTGAAATGTGTCCAAAAAAAAAAAAAAAAATACTTACAACTACAGTAAAAGTAAAGTAAAGTAAAGATACCTTTTCACGCCTTTAGATGCATCGAGCATATGGGAAGAGCACCCATATTTTTACAGACCAATCGGCACTCGGTGGGTAATGTGGTCAGCATTACGCCGGCCTTCTCTACTTCCCCAGGACAGCCATCCTGGTACCCATTTGAGGCTGGGTCGACCTGTGACGTCCCATACCACGATAAAAATCCACGCAGCCCGCAGTGGGTTTCGATCGCTGTATGTTGGATTACGAGTCGGACTCGCAACGCCTTAGCCATGGACGCCACTACTTACAACTATAATGAAAATGATAATTTCCCCTCTAATAATTTTTTATTAGACATTTAAATACTACTGTTAATTTGTGGCAGGCTAAAAATTATTTAACATGAAATTCAATACTGTTTGTTAAATACAGTCCAGAATGGGCATTATACTTGGACACATTAAAGATACAGCATGCAGAGAAATGTGGTAACTCCTTGGTTTTACAACAATGGAAGCTAGAATAAGGATTTGTCGAGCATATGCTTACCTCCGAGTCAGTGCCACCACACAAAATTCACTGCATAGTGAAATCAGGAAAAGAAAAGGCAGCTAATTAAAGAGAGGAAAATCATGGATGTGTCAGGCCGAGGATATTATACAAGAGGTTTGTCCACTTCAGGACACAGAACTTGGGGAGGAATGGGTACCTGTACCACCAGAGTGTCATACGTCCTTTGAAGTATGCATCAAGCTGAACACAGAATGCGGACAACAAAACCCAGTAGTGGTGGATGTAGAAGTGCAGACCTCGGTATGTGAGAATTCTTCTGAGGGCGATGTGACCATCTAAACAGGAGGATCTGTCATTCGAAATGTCAGGAGCTTGTAGGCATTTATGGCTTAGGTCGAAGGGAGAACTGTCAAACAAGACTGCAGTGCCTTTGCCTTGACGACAAGAAGTTTGACTGTTGAGGTCATGTCAGCAACTAGAGCAATAGCCTGACTAGAAACATAAAGACCTTCACTCAGGTAAGCTTCCTCAGTGACTCAATGAATGCTCTCAGAAAGATCAAGAAGGGTTGCATATGAAGACAATGGGTGCAGTTCCTGAATAGTTCTAGGCTGACCAGATTCAGTTTCATTCAGTTAAAGGGTAATGAGCGAGCAGACAGACTTCCAAGTGATGCTCATGTGGGAAACAAACAAGCAATGGACAGGGCTGACATACTGAATGCCCTCACAGAGGCGGCTTGACTTAACGAATCAAGTAATTATTGTAAATCTGTGACACTGACGAGACTACACGAACATAACATCAAAAGGGGTGAAATCAGACAAGAGTGCTAAACAGAGGCCCAAAGAGGAAAAGTAAACCAGCACAGAACTGGTGTCATAAGCCACTACATGCTGAGGGAGATACTGAAGAGGGGATCTGAGCACTTATGGACTGAATGGTTTGATGTGCGATGATAATAATAATATGTCGACTAACTAACTAAACGAATCTGCTTTAGTCCATTCTTCATACTTTTGCTTTATGTGTCAAAATATTACGATATACAAAGTAACAGATAATTTACAACAAGAAAGAAGAAAAACATGTTTTAATGTAATTAGACAACAATCTGTATTTTATGCACAGACATCTTTACCCTCAGAGGCACAATCTTGTGCAGTGCAGAAATGTTGCCCCTTTCGGTTCCATAAGGAGAGATTTTCACCGCCAGCACAGAAGAGTCCTTGGTGTAATAAATGGAGACACTGGAGATAAAATGACAAATTCAGTCATTTACATTTCATTCCTTTCTAAATATTTCCTCATGCATTTGGCTTTTCTTCTTATAGTCCATGCTATATGGTGTGTTTACAGCTTCTATATTGTTCTTTTATAATATTCATAATATGCATATCATCATATGATCATAACATGCTTTATTAGTAAATAAAATACAACTGCTGTGCAAAAGATGGTTGACTGGAAGGGTCGAATTTAAGACGGGCCTGCATGCCCAATTTGTGACCCTCTGAACATAAAGTTTGTTCGTCCGTTGTATTGCCAATCAATTCTGAAGCAAATGTTCCTTCAGGCCATGATTCCAAACTATCCTCTTCTCTTTTGATTGACTCCTGGCTCTCTTCTGTTCCAACTTTCAAGTTGTCATAACATCCTCAAGTTTTCCTCTTCTCATGGCATACTTAAAGAATGCAGATGGTCTGCTTCTGCTTCATTTGAATGTATGTATACACTTGCCACCCATGCTTTTGTATTTATACTTAATATTAATACTATGTACGTTGTTAGATGCACATAATGTGCTTCAACCCTCTCACTCAGGAGAACCCTTTAAAAAATGAGTCATAACCAAGTAGGAACTCAAAAAAAAAAAAAAAAAAAAATCTTACAAACATTTTTTTACACATGCTCTTAATAAATTTATTATAAATATATTTATCTACATTTGGGAGGGGGAGGGAGGGGATATAAAGATATATGTAGGCAGTAATAAATAAACATGAATAGCGTCAGAAAAGTTAAATTTATGGAGAATCAGACTCGACCAGAAAGGTGTTTTTTCAGGTTCTCATGACAAAAAGGTTAAAGATAAAATACAGCTGCTGTGTAAAAGATAAGTAATTGGAAAGGCCAAATGTAAGGCGTGCCTGCATGCCCAATTTTTAACTGGAAAAAAACTGTTTATTCGTTCTTCAAGGACTGAGAAGAGGGAAAATGCAGCATTCTCTAGGATCTGAACATCAAGGAGGATTTGCTGATAGTCAGTAACATTTCTCAGAAACTGAAATTTTTTGGCCATATCAAATGTCATAGTGGTTATGAAATATAAGCAATAGAAAGTATTGTCCTGGGCAGAAGAAACCGGAGTAGACCAGCAACCAATATGACAGTGGACACAGGATATCAAGTAGGCTCTGGGCATGAGACATCATATCCAAAGTGTCTCTAATGTCATATGTCCACCTTCAGGTTGGTCAACCCATCTCTTTTTTCCAGGAACCACTGCAGTGTTCATACGGTCAGAGTATTTAATTTTCTGATTTCTGAGACATGTTGTGCATTTAGAAAAAAAAAAAAAAAAAAAACCTTGTGCAGAATGTGATTTTTTTTTTTTTAATTTCCTTTTTAATCCATGGCATGAGTTATTCTGCAACATTTTAATTCTTCTAGTGCATTTGCCCTTTAAAAGGTGGTTTGCTGTGTTGTGGTTTACAGCTAGGCAGTAATATCTGTGTCTTTCGGCCCAACACGCCCAATTTCAGAAAACCCTTAATTATAGTCAACTTTCACAAGTCGGTGTCTGTGGCTTAGGCGTTGTGAACGCACTTCGTAATGCCGGGTTCGATCCCAGCTGCTGACGATGTTGTCTTGCGTTAGTTTCGACAGCTGACCATTCAGAAAACAATGTCTATAAACTGAATGTAAAATTTGCCTAGAAAAACCACTACAGCCAAAAAGTGCTGGGGGTTGGTTCTGCAACGTCCAGTAAAAGATATGCAACAACTTTTTACAACAGGCTTCTTAGGGGTGCAGTAAGTCTGCTATTTTCCCCCCAAAAGTGGGACCTCAAAGCCCATAGGAAGAGCATTTAAATTTTAAAAAAAACAGATTTTCTTCTAATGCAATTGCAAAATGATTCATGACATGCACACACATGTTGTCATAGAATGAAAATGTTCAAAATATGAACACTAAAAATTTCTATTTTAACAGAAAAAGAAGTAAACTATGTGTTTCTGTCACTATAATATCAAACTGCTCTTGAATAACATTGAACGGGGAAAGTGTTTCATACAGAACCGGGCATTTCTGATTTACATGAAAGGAAAAGAAAACAAGACTTACCTTTACTGATGCACCATGTTCAGTTAACACATGAAGGCATTCTCCAGTTTCTGAATTCCATATCTTGAAAAAGAGTATTAAAAAAAGTATAAAACTCCAAGGATGGTTATTTCTTCTTCTTAACATTCACTGGCTGTTAACTCCAGCAGAATATTCTGTTTGTTCATTCACTCCTGGACTTTAGCCTTAATCCAGAACTTGAGTTTTTAGTGCAGATCAGTCTTACGGATGTGGCTTAATTGTATGCAATTTGTTGGTCCCTTGCGTCTCAGACAGAGTATATTTGTGATTTCATATATTGTAACTATTTAGTTAGTTATGTAACTGTATTATTATTTTCAGATATAGTTTTGTTTACACTTATGTGAATTGTGAAATTATTTAGAAAATATTACTAACATGTCACTAAGACGGTGGATTCATTATGCCCTTAGTAAAATCGCTGATTATCCTAATTGATTTTAACTTTGGGGGTAATTATTTTCAAAAGTGGCATGCAGATTAAGAATCCTGTCTAGAAACACTGTCAGACCCCAGCCAAGCCAAGTTGTCATGCTGATGATAAGCAGGAATTTAATCAGGTTCAGGCAGCTTTTAATATGTATGCTAAGAAATTTTATAGAATGCAGAGGCAACTGAGGTGATACAAACCATACAGAGGCAGCTAAGGTGATACAAACCGTATAGAAGCAGCTAAAGTGATACAAACCATACAGAGGCAGCTGAGGTGAAATAAATGATACACCGGCAGCTGGGGTGATACAAACCATACAGAGGCAGCTGAGATGATACAAACCATACAGAGGCAGCTAAGGTGATACAAAACCATACAGAGGCAGCTGAGATGATACAAACCATACAGAGGCAGCTGAGGTGATAGAAACGATATAGATGCAGCTGAGGTGATACAAAACCATACAGAGGCAGCTGAGGTGATAAAAAAACGATATAGAGGCAGCTGAGGTGATACAAACCACACAAAGGCAGCTGAGGTGAAATAAACCATACAAAGGCAGCTGAGGTGAAATAAACCATACAAAGGCAGCTGAGGTGAAATAAACCATTCAGAGGCAGCTGAGGTGATACAAACCATAGAGGCAACTGAGGTGATTCAAACCATACAGAGGCAACTGAGGTGATTCAAACCATACAGAGGCAACTGAGGTGATTCAAACTATACAAAGGCAGCTGAGGTGAAATAAACCGTAGAAAGGCAGCTGAGATGATACAAACCATACAGAGGCAGTTGAGGTGATTCAAACCATATAGAGACAGCTGAGGTGATACAAACCACATAGCGGCAACTGAGGTGACACAAACCATCCAGAAGAAGATCCCATACTTTATATCTCCTTTTACATCTGCATTTGCCCTTAAAATGGCAACTGTCACACTGTGTTGTGGTTTACAGCTAGGCTGCAATTTCTGTACTTTTCAGGTCAAAGAATCTAATCTCAACATACAATTAATTAGCTTCTTTTTAAAACATGCTTGTTAGGTAGGCACTAAGGTCCCCCCCTCCCCTCCCCCACCCGTCAAAGGGGCCAAAGAACCCATATATGGACATTATTTTAAAGAAAACTTTGAAAAACATAACATCCTCTTTACAGACTATATCCTAATCAACCAAACTTACCCTGATTTGTTTATCTGAAGAGCCAGTAACAATAAGTGCCTCCTCATTTTCTTCCACTGGAGGCAGAAGGAGCAAGCTTGTAATGGGGAGAGAATGTCCAATTAATGTTGCTATTCTACGACCATACTGTAAAAGACAAACAAATATCAATATGAACTAAAAATACTGGCATATTAAAATGATTAATTTACAATTTCAAACAGTAAAGGAAAATTCTCATTCTTCTCCCCTCCTCTTTTTTTTTTTCTTTTTAAGAAGGGGGTCCTCAAGTTTCTTTTCTTCTTTTGTTGCAATAACTAAAACATAACATTCTTTGCTTCTCTACGGATCTGAGTCATATCTGAAAAGAAAATAATAAGCATGCAAAGTTTTATTATCCAGTGATCCCAGTATTACCTGAACTTCCCAGATCACAGCCTTCTTATCATCTCCTGCTGAGACAAATCTGTGAAATAAAGAGAGTGATATAAAGTATTAAGCCTGACTAGAGGACATTGAGACAATTAAGAGGATTTCTTCTTCTGCTTCTTAGCATTCACAGGGTGGAAACAAGTGGACATTTCTGGTTGTTTGTGAACATCTGGACTTAGATCCTGTTCCAGAATCCGAGTTTTGTGTGCACATCCATTTCGTAGCTCTGACTTTTTTTGTGGGCCAGCTGTTAGTTTTTCTCAGGCAGATGCACTCCTCCAACTTCAAAGGAAACATCCCCCGTGTGGGTTCCGGGGCCCCATTGTGGGGAAAACAAGAACAGACCCACTGCCTTCCCCAAAAGCATGTCGTAAGAGTCGACTAATTGGGGAGCTTCCTTTGAAGTCGGAGTGCATCTGCCGGAGAGGCAAGGAACCAACAGTCTGTATTCAAGAGAATGAGATCTGTAAAACTGATGCACACGCAACACTCAGGTTCTGAAGGAGGACTGCAGTTCAGTAGTGGACGAGCAACCAGAACCTTCCGCTAGAGTTTACAGCTGGTGAACGCGAAGAAGAAGAAGAAAGGAAACATTCCTAATTAGTCGCCTTTAATTACATGCTTGTTAGGGTGGGTGGGGGGGGGGGGTGGAAGAGGGGGGAAGGGGAGGGGCAGTGGGTCTTTCCCCCCCCCCCCTCTTAAATGGGGTTCTGGAACCAAAACCTTGTATTGAAAGGGGTGTCCATGATGAAGTGGTCAAGCCATTTGCCTCTGGCTCTGGGGGTAGTGTGTTTATTTCACAGACCATCATTCGGTTCAGGGGTTAGATTTTTACAGAGATCCGGGAGGATCATTGCTGGAGCTATGAATTCATCTTTTGTTTGGAGGCTAATCATGCTGAGATGGCCTTTTATGCTGAGATGGCCAGTCATGCTGAGATAGCTAGCCATGCTCAGGTGGCTAGCCATGCTCAGGTGGCTAGCCATGCTCAGGTGGCTAGCCATGCTCAGGTGGTCAGCCATGCTCAGGTGGCCAGCCATGCTCAGGTAGCCAGCCATGCTCAGGTGGCTAGCCATGCTGAGGTAGCCAGTCATGCTCAGGTGGCTAGCCATGCGGGGGACGGAGGCTGATCCAGATGGGATATATATTTCCATCTTGTTTTTAGTCAACCTTGTGCTCTAAATCCTTCTCCTCTTTTTGAAGTACGCCTTGAATGGTACGGCATCACAGTGCATTCTTTCTAAGTGGGAAAACCATTTCATCTGCTGTCTTTGTATGTAAATTAAAACTGGTTCTGTGCTGAATTGTTCTCTAATGACCTCATTCCTGTTCTTATATCACTAAAATGACAAAAAATTAGGTTTAAATTAACATTAAAATACAGTTTACTAGTGCCAAAAAAAAAAAAAAAAACACACACACAAAATGAACCATAAAATTTTTTTTTTAAACACGGCCATTAATTCCCATTTTTATCACTTTTATGGGACAATAACCCATAACCTTATCAAGGATTCAAACCTGGGTCTCCGGTTATTAGAGTCCAGTATTCTTAAAAGTTTGGCCAACATCAAATGCTTAAAATACAATTATACAAGCAAAAGGTAAACAGCAAATATATTTTACTTTTTAACTGCTGCCAAAAACTGTAAATTAGTTTTATTCTGTGAAAACTCTCTTTCACAAGCTCACTCCTTCATATACATATACTTTCACAGATCAAGAGTCTTGGACAGCAAGCCTCCACATGTGGGTTCCTGGACCGCATTTGAAAAGGGGGGGGGGGGGGGGGGAACAGACCCAATGCCTCCTAAAAATCATGTGGTAGAAGGTGAATAACCACACCCTGCTGAAATTTGATGTACTGGGTCGAAAGGTGATAATACCACAGCCTAATCGTAAATTACAACACAACATGACAACCACCCATTTAGGGGAAAAGATAGTGGAAGACAATTTAAAAATGAAAACCCTAAAAGTGTGATAGAAAATACAATAACCATGCAATTGTCTTGTAACCTGTCAGAATTGTTGTTAAAAATGTTTAGAGTGTTGAGCACATGACCTTACGGTGCAGACAAACATGCCGATGTCATAACAGTTCAAAGATGGCCACCTCTCTTTTGACATGCACCAGAGGAGCAGTGTTCTGTTATCCACTTATTGATCAGTTAAGGGGTGAAACCTTTAGAAATTCATTGTCAAATGAAGGTCTAGTATGACGATCCGTGCCTGTCTTTCCAGCAAGTTATGTTATCACAATTGACAGCACTGCAAATTGGGCCTTCGCATACACTGCTATGTCCTCTGATGCAGCAGCCATTCCAAGGTTAGTTAAAAGTTAGATGTGTATCCTTTACAGGACATTGCAGAACCAACCCCAGAATTGTTTGGCTGTTGTGGTTTTTCTAGGCAAATCGTCCGCCGCTGGGATTAAACCAGGAACCCTGGCATTACAAAGCGTGTTCACAACGCCTAAGCCACAGACACCGACAGATATTCTAAGGTACTTCTACAAATTGTTCCCATGAGGGGTTGGTTATAATGTCTCTTATCTCAGCCTCGAAGGTGGCATAGATGGGCTTTACCATGATTTATTCACATGTCATGCAACAGTATTGTTCTGAGAGATTTGTCATTATCCACTATCACAGTCCATTTAGCTTTGATGATATCTGCTCTATCCATGCTTCTTTCTGTATGCGTTGGTGCATTGCTTGCTAAATGGTCCGCTTGCTCATTACCCTTTATGCCAGACTGACCAGGTGTGTAGCATAAAGGGTAATCAGAGAGTAAGTGTATGCGTTGAGTAGGCAGTTTTAAAATGGTGTAACTGTTGTGACGACTGGTGGAGGTACACCGCCACCCTATCTGGTTTACGACATAGGCCTTACCTCAGTCTGATTTTCTTGAATCTGCTTGTCTGATGCCAGCAAGAATTTCTGAAGCATGGACATGATGAAAATTCACTCTCTCTCTGCAATAACTTTTGTCTGTTCAGAGGTTACAGCTCAGATACCAGTCAACAAGTTATCATGCAACTTGTGAGGCCATTTTCCTACTGAGAAAATAAAAAATTTTATCCGAGATTCACTCCCATTTTATGTGTATTTAGAGAGCTCCATAAACAGATAAAACATTAACAATCACAAAAAATAATTTGGAAATGTATATAAATTACTAGATTTCTTTAACCAGCAGATGATAAAAAGATATCAATAATAAAATTATTCTTTTCGTCAAAAATATACCACTATCGTCTCTCTCTCTCTCTCTCTCACACATGTACACACACACAAAAACATGCATACACACACACACACATATGTAAACAAGCAAATAAACACACACAAAAAGGAAATAACAGCACACTGGTATATTTCAACAAGTGGGGAAAAAATACTGTTTGAGAGCAAGAGGGGAAGAAGCAGACTAGGAAAAATCTGGATGCAGAATGTGACTAAATAAATTGATTTCAAATATGCAAAAAATCAAGTCCATGGCATCTGACCAACAGAGGTGGAGGGAACTGATTAGATGGTCAACAGCAACTAGTGGCCCAACAACATGCAGTGTTAAGGGATTATACAAGATGAACAATTTTTTGGTACAGCAATAATCTTTGTCTTTTTTTTTTTTTTCTTGGGATCACACTCTGATTTACACCAATAGACAAGTTATTGTGTGTGATTTCTAATAATAAGTCTTAACTCTGCTGGTACCAGAGAATAGTTAAAAAATAAAATTAAAATTAAACGTTTTCTTTGGTGCCCAAATAGTTGAAAAAAAAATTTCCTGGGCACTCTGATTATAAAAGTTGGCTATCCTCCAAATAACAGACACATATTATGGCGGCCAAAAAACAGGACTTCAGTCACGTGTCAATTGCGCACTTCCAGCGACCTAATTTGCAGTTTTCTGGTGACTACCGTCACCGTCGAGAGTATCTCCCACGCGGCGTGGATTGGGGCTAAACTAGATGGCTTGGACTCATGAGCAAAGCTGCAGGAGATGCAGAAGCTGCTGCTCGCCAGCCATCTAGTTTAGCCCCAATCCGAGGATAGCCGATTGAGTTGAGTTTATATTTTACTTATACATTACTAAGTGGTTCATATTCATTTGTGATACATTTTAACCAGTTTTTCTTAAGTGCCATGTTGTTAAGTGGAATTTTGTTTATTTCATTTTACAAAATGTTGTAAACATAACGTCTGTTTATTTACTAATATTTAATTACTTACGCAATTATTTGTTGTAGCTCTATTCTAAAATTATTCCTCAACAATCCCTGTCACTTTGATGTATAATTGAATTAGTATGGTCTGTTTTAATGTGTTACACTTGTGAAATTAAAAAATGGCTTTACCACCCCTTGGGCCTCTGATGCTAAACCACCTGGGACTCAAAGAGTTAATGACAGTAGAACCACAACAATCTACCTAGAGACAGAGAGCTGTTCTCGTCATGACGAATAATTAAGGATCAACCTGCTTACTTTATTTCATTATCATCTTAATAATCAGGTATCACTTTTCTCCGATCGTTGAAGTGCGGCTTAGATACTTTCGTCAGGATCGTCAATATAAAAGTTTACATTCACATAAGTCAACATTCACAGAGACTAGACCCAGAACACCAACCCAAACATTCATGTCTACAGCTAGTCAGCTGACCGATCACGTGACATAGGGTATTCTGCTGTTAGATGATATTGATCTGGATTTGTAATTTTTTTTTTTTTGTCTTCTAAGTTTTGCTATCTTGTAGGGGACCGAGCTTGTTCTACGTAACGTCCTTTTGGGCCACCATTTATAGTTTTAAAATTTTTAATTTTTTACTATGTCAAAAAGTACTGAAAACAGTTTTTGAGTTTGGACTGATCCGAAAAAGTGAAAAATTTCGCGTGTAACCATAGCGGTCTTATGGTTGTCCTCCTGTAATAAGAACAGGTTAAGCATGTCACAATGATGTCAATGAGATGCTAGATGAGGTTCCCTACTGATTCTATCTGTCACTTGTCGCAGTGTGGTCCGA